TTGTATGCAACAAACAATCTAGGCTAGAGGGTAACACGATTGATAATTACAGGCAAACATAACTTTATATAAACTATTTAAATGTACATGCAATTTCTTAGATAAAATTTCTCATTGAGTATATTAAATTAACTGGTTGATCCATTTTTACGATTCAGACTTTTAAAGTGAAAAACCATTTATTTCTTTATCTTTATCAAATGTTTATTGTACATTTCCATTTCCATAATGATGTCAAGTAGTTACCTTAATAGAATAATCAAATTTTTCCTTTTAGCGGGTTTTGTGGGAAACACAAAATTTACAAAAGGATACCTACTTGACGTTTCTAGGCAAGCAGACTTAAAACAAATCCCTTCTTCTTTTACATATTTCGCTATGCAATGCAATATTCGTATTAAAGTATGACGTAATGCATTCATTAGCTTGCATGCTATATCTAATAAAGCATTGGTTCGACTGACACATCTGCTGAATGCAATCGAATCACCAAGAGATGGTCGTGGTCGACATTCTAACAGAGCACGTGCAATACCAGCCTCTGTTACTGATGAAATACATAATCACATCAAATCATTTCCAACGCAGTGTTGACAACGACGAAAATGCTTAACATATTCTTGAAAAAATTCCCTCAATACAAAACATTGGTGAAATATGAATATTACCTCTAATATTTCAAAGAAAATTCCACACCTGTAATTTTGAACCAATCAAAATACGTGTTTTTGACAGATCACCATGGCAACGGAGGTATTTTAGTGGAAATTTTTTTCTCGTGGGGTACCCAACAGCGAATTATACTGGACATTTTTTGACGTTTACAATAACAGACCATTTTTGACAGACTGGTTTTTATTTGTTCACATAATAGGTTTAGTTTTGATACATTTTAGTTACAATGCTAAGGTGTTTTCTATATTCTTCGGCCACTTCTTTTCTTCTTAATGGCGAAAATGCAGGACTTTGGATGCTTTGAATTATGTGTCTATGTCTAATAAAATATATATAATACTTAGACACTAATTTATTCACCTTTTTCCCATTCAGCACTTTGAATTTTGCGTAGTTTAGGTGCAAATATTCGTGGACAATTCGGAACAAATTTTCGTTTTTCAAGTTGGAGCCACAATCCTCTATTAATCCGAGTAAGTAAGTCATGGTGCAATGATTGATCATTACATCAGACAATTTCACGCATATTTTGCATAGCGTATGGTTTTCAAATCGATTCATTTTTAAACAAATAGGTAATTTTGTTGGTTTTACTTGCTGTGCAATATTCTTTATCGCAACAAAACGCGAGTTATTTAATGTTTTGAACTGTCAAAATACAATGATCACTGCCTCCTACGATTGATGCTTGCTGACGCTGGTTATGAATTTCATACCATTTTAAAGCGCTCATAACGCATGTTAATAAAAACGCAGAAAAACAATTTTCTACCACTTGTAGTTATTCAAAACTTACGTAAAATTAAAGAATATACTATTTTCTATTTTCAAATGGTATTCCCATGCAACTACAATGAGTAGAAATAAGCAATTTGAAGGCCTAAATAATTGCAGCGAAACATTTTTTTACGTCGGGCCGATTGACAACTTCAAAACTAAAATTATATTCGAGGTTAGGGTCTCACTTAGTTACCATGACAACTCAACAATCAAGGCGACAACACCTTTTATGTTTCACTGGTGACTTGGAGAAAATAATTTGCATTGTTGAGAAACGAAAAATAAATTTTAAAAATATTTAATTTTCAACCATAATTCAGCGTGGAATTTTCTTACCGAATACCACGCGAGGTCAAATTAATATCAGGAAATTTTTTGACCTCTAGTGGTATTACTAGTGAAAATTTTACTACAAATTTGGCCGACCACAGGTAGATGTTTATTTTACCTGTGACCAAATCAACTTTTTTAAATGATTGATCAAAATGTGTTGCTGCTGCTGCATAAACGAAGGGCAACGAAGTTTTATAACAACCTGAATAGCGTGCAAGAGTTGAGCAAAACTGACCCAAAAGTTAGTGGAATAGTATTTGACTATATGTAAAATTTTCCTCTGCCCTTTATGCCTGTGCAGGAGATGTTTTACCTGAGAAAACTATGATACAGTTCATCAAATTTCTAGAGGTGTTCGACGCCCAGACAGAGAACGCGCTACGTGTGACTAAGATAGCTATTGTACAGTCTGCTAAACAAGTTATTTTAAATAGTTTTTAATATTTTTAGGTAATTAAATTTTAAAAGTGTGGAATAGTTTAGGGATTAAATTGGTCTGATTAGACTTTCTTAGAACGTTTTTAAAAGCAGCTAAAGATAGTATGTAGAATTGAAAATAATTATTATGCCATAAAAGGTGTTTTGGAATTCCTTCAACCTTTTGAAATTGAGTCAGAAAATATAAATTTTATAGGATAGCGGAAAATACCTATAATTTTTTTGTAGGCCTTTGTAAATCGTGGAAATAGTTTATATTTTATTTCTACCTTATTAAGGAAAATAGTACCTATTATTAATAACGGTTGTTTCTGAAACATTACTAAAATTTTCGAAATTTTGTTTTTCTACAAAATAATAAACTATACTATTTAGAAAAAAATTTATTTCTCTTATAATTTTATAAAAAATAACAGGGGAATATTTACATTTCTTGATCTATTAAACAAATCGATAAATTATCTCGACGAATGACACCATGTTCTAGTACGGAAGCTAGCTTTACATTTTTGTTGGTGATTTCATGGGTTTCATATCAATTTTTTGTAATTGTAGTTTACACGTACATATACCTCTTAACACTTGTTTGTTTTATTAAAAAAGTGTGTTGTTGTGATTTACGTCGAAATAAGTCAAAAACAACTTGAAACCCCATATAAAATCAAAAAGGAGAAACGGAAAAAATTGAGCCTGTAAATGAACACAACTCAGAAACAAAAATAGCTATCTAATAATAAAAAATAAAATTTGATTCTTGTGCATCTTCGTTGTAAAAATAAATAATACTTTTTTGATCTTAGGTACAGATATAATTTTAATGGTCTTCCGAAAAACTTTCTTCAGTTTTCATATCAGATTCAAAATCAGTCTCACTGTCACTGTTTAAGTTAATTATAAATCTATCAGTTGCCTCATCCAAAGTAACTTCTCTGTCATAAAATTTAGATTCCCACATTTTAGCATTATTACAACGAGATTGTCACTCCTCTTTAGAAAACGTATCAAAAAAGTCTTCACACAACAGTTGTGCCTCTTAAATGTAGTGTTGTTACTAGCTACATATTGTTTCAATGATGCCCACACTAATTCGATCGGATTAAGATCGGGATGATACGGTGGCAAACGCAAACAACTAAAACCATGTTCATTTATCATTTCTTCAATTGCATACCTCTTAAATCGTGACTTATGCAATAGCACTAAACTGTATAATTGCGTTTTGAGCATATCCTCTTCGTAAGCAATATTATGATTCCTTAACCAATCCTGCATGTCAGCTTTTTTAGAAGTTGACGTTGGTGCTTTATTTACCTGGACATTATGGTAAGGAGCATTATCAACAATAATGACGCTTCTTGGAGGGAGGTTCGGAAACAGCTTTTCTTTCAACCATTTCGAAAAATTATTAAAATTCATTTCATCGTGGTAGTCTCCACTTTTGATTCCAGATTTGAAAATTAACCGGGCATTCGGAATAAAGCCCATTTCACCTCCTACATGGACAATAATTAGTCTATCACCTTTATTAATTGGTTTCTTTAATCCCTCATTTGAATTATCACTCCAAGCTTTCTGGTGTGTGTGGGAGGCATGAATGTATGTTTCATCTAAGTAGACAATTGGACGGCCCTCTGCTCGATAACTTTTTAAACGAATCAGATAGTCTAAACGTAGCTTTTGAATATCAAACCTTTCCATTAATATTTTTCTGTTTGTTTTTGTTTTCCGCCAACGAAATCCTAGCGACTTTATTATTTTTCTTAAACTTTCATAGCTTCCTTTGTACCCTGTAGCTTCTCTAAATTTAGTCAGAATTGTTTTTAATGTTGGAACAATATTTTCCGAGATTAACATGAACAGAATAATTCTTTTTAAAATACCTTTGTCAGCTTCATCTATATCATTAACTGTTTTTGGTTTTTTAATGGTTTTTCTTGGTGATGAAAATTCCGATATCTCACGGTTATCGATTCTTTTTTTCTCTCCAGAAATGCGGACGACAGTGTTTTTAGATACTCCTGTGGCTGCAGCAACACGATCATTTACATTTTTAAATGGTATTGAAGGTGAATTAAAGTTTCCTTCTCTTCTCATAAACTCTGTAACATTGGCTATTATTTCGCGAGATTGACTGTTAATCACGCGGCCTCTTAATTTGCTATTAAACTCCATACTTAGGTTCTATTAAACTGTAATGAGCAAAAAACACAAACGAAAATAAAGAAATGTTTTAGCGAAATTTACATCTGACATTTACGTCTGAATAAAATAGTGAAATACTTGATGCGCAGAGTGTACTTTCATTGCGTAAATCCGTCGGCCCCGCCAACCGATGCCTCTCAGTAGTGCTTTCTCTGTCTAGCCGTCGAAAGCCTCTAGAAATTTGATGAACTGTATGTGTTCAATATTCAAGACTTCAAAACTGGAACGTCTATATTTTATAACTTCCGGAAGGAGAATGCAAGAAAAGGCCTAATGAGGTATGCACTTTTGTAATAGATTTTATTGAAAGGTCTGCTCCAAAGAAAGTAGAAATTCTTCATGTTTTTTTGTGATGCGTGCGGTGGTCAAAACCGCAACCACACTCTTACGAGATTGTTGCTTACTCTAACAATGAGGGTTCGTTTCAAAGAGGTTAACCTATACTATCATGTTAGGGGTCATAGTTTTATGCCCTGTTACGGGACTTTTTGACGGAAACATGATCGAATTTATTCACCTGGTCAGTACAAGGAAATTATATGCAATCCTAAGACAACTCATTCTAAATAGAGATGGTAAGAGATATTAATCATGAAGATATGCTAGACTTTAAAAACTGGTGGCCTCATTATTTAAAAAAAATCTGTACAAGTACGCCTCCTACTGGATCAACCGTCAAAGTACCTTTTACTATTAGTAAGTACAGACATAGTGTCTTCAAGCAGGCAGAAAGATGATATGTACAATGTGGTGAATATATAGACAGTTTTTGTGTCAACAAATTTAAATTGAGTAAGGTTGACGACGTGCCTCTACCTAGTACAAGGGCATATATAGGAAGACTCCAAATAAAAAAGAAAAAGATTGAAGATGCTTCAAAAATTTTGCAATACATACCTGAAGACTTTCTTCCATTCTTCGAAGAAAAACTCACCTGGCCCACTGTAGAAGGTGATGGTGACGAGGAAGATTGATTTACGATGCCAAGTTTAAGAGGAGAATGTTTCTTATAATTTTAGTGTAGAAACAAGTTCTTTTTTGATTAAAAATAAAAATTTGTTCAAAACTTTGCTATTTTTATAATACTTTCTTATTTTGAGTGGAAAAAGGGTAATATTCCAAATATTAAAACCTCCTTAACATTGGTAAATGAGTTAATAAAAAAATTAAAAAAATTCAAATTTATTACTAAAATACTTTTATATAGCACTACAAGTTAATAATAGATAATTTTTCTGTTACACTAAAAATAAAGCTGTAAAACAGTTTTTTTAATTTCCTAAAAGTTAAGATTTTGGAATATTTATCCTTTTTCCACTTACCGATTCAATTTCGCATTAACTCCGATTATAAATCGAACATATCGCAATCTCACCATGTATTGTTCTTTATTGCTCTATATATTTTGGGAATGAGAGAATGATTCCTTCCTGCTACTATCTGAGTACGTCATTGTTAAGAGTTCCATCCTGTATTATGTATTCTAATATTAAAAATCTTTCTTTTTAATGATCAATCAACAAATTGTCTGGAAATAAATACGTTGCTGTATTTCTTGGTAGTAATTATTTATATGCTACTTCCGGAAACGTTAGAAATGATTTCGATGACGTTATTTAACGTTTAAACAAAAAAATATCCATTATACGATTTCCTGTTTATAATAAGTTATTTTCTTCATCATTAATAATTTTCAATATTATATATCGTTGAATTTTTTGTTAGATGTAATAATAATTATTTAACATTTTTATTATCACATGCCTTCTATTCAAGGGTAACAAAATAAGTGGTACAGCGGGTCCAAGAGAAAAGACCAAAATAAGAACTAATTATCGAATGACAGAACGTAGAATTTATAAAATATAGATAAGATAATACATCGAAAAACAAAAGATAGGAAAATTAAAGATCGAATTACAAATGTTCGAAAAACAAAAGATCGGATAAACTAATATTCAAACTTCAATAAGTCAATAAAATAGCTAAAATTCAAAATTAATTCTAACAAACTGAAATTCACTATAAATATATATTATGAAAACATACGTTTCACTCACATAAACAATATTTATACACAATAATTTAAAAATTCGGAAAAAATCTCAAAAATCCCCCTACGAATTATTAGGACCATCCCCGAACCTCAAAGGTAAAAACAAATACTTGGAGATTTGAAAAAAAACATGTCGTAGCCGGGATCTAGCATGCCAGCAAATGCCATTTACTATAATATGGTTTGTGTTTTCGTATCTGTCCCTGCATTTTCCAAAATCATGCCATAAGTAGCTTTTTCTTCAGCTACTCATAGTTCGCAGATTGATATAGTAAATGTTCACATAAATTAGTATTTAAGTAAATGTGATATATAAATTAGACCATAGTATTTGTATGTATATAATTTAAAATAATAAACTTTACATAATTCATACTTTCTAACATTGCAAAGTTCATAAATGCTTTCCATAAACATAAACAGTATTTTTTGGTATATTTAATTCGATATTTCATTAATTCTGTCGTTATATTTATAATCAAATCGTAACATTTTGAAATTATTAGATATTTGAAAGGTCAAAATCGAAATAAATCAAAATGTATCCTTAGCAACGTAACACAGTAAAAACAATCCCATGTAATTTTTTTTAACATAATATTGTTCTGATTGGTAGTGTTCAATCAAATGACCTGAAATTAAATAATTTCATTGGATTTTTACCTAAGTAAAAAAGCAAAAAAAGCAAAAAAAGCAAAAAAAAAAGCAAAAAAAAAGCAAAAAAAGCAAAAAAAGCAGAAAAAGCAAAAAAAAAGCCAAAATAGCAAAAAAGCGGAAAAAAAAAGCTAAAAAAGCGAAAAAATCTAAAAAAAAAGCGAAAAAAGCTATAAAAAAAGCCAAAATAGCAAAAAAGCGGAAAAAAAAGCTAAAAAAAAGCGAAAAAAGCTATAAAAAAAAGGCAAAAAATAAAAAAAAGTAAAAAAAGCAAAAAAAATTCAAGCTAATAACTGTAGCATTATTATGACAAATACGTTAATAAATAATGTATTTATTTAAAAATTTAGAAATTAAATAAATACTGTTCCTCTTAAAACACATATCTCGAAAAAGGTTAGAATTGCGAAATCTAGGGTTGTGGATTTGACTAAAACAAATTATATAATACAATAAACTAAAAATATAAAAATCAATATTTTTTCAAAACCGTCAAGAATAGCTAGTGAAAAAGTGCACTGAGTGCGATTTATGCACGCTTGCAGAGGAACACTAGGTTGACATCTGCAGGGCCGACTAGAGGGGGGGGGTAGCCGGGACTAATCCCCGGGGCCCGGGCTTAAATGGGGGCCCGGTAGCGCTGTAAGGGGGGCCCGACAACAGCATTTTCTGTTGTTCTGCATGAGAAATTCGACACAAGATGAGAGTGGGAAGTTAAGTTTCGGCTGACTTTAGAATAGCTCTTTGATGTGAGGACCTTTTTTTTTTTTTTTTTTTTTTTTTTACGGGGCTTGATCTAGAGAATTGTCCTAGGGCCCGGCCTGGCTCTCAGCGGCCCTGGACATCTGATCGGGGCGAGTGCAATTTGAACGCAGAATAATGATCTACAGAGTGCTCAATAACTCCATGTCAGTGCTTGCAATTCGAAAATGCTCTTCGCGATTCAAACTAAGTGATACGCCCTCTGGAGGAAATAAGTTGGATATCGTTCAGTATTGCCAAAAGTAGCAAAATTTCGCTACATCGTTGGATTTTAGCTCTTGAAGAAGTGGATAAGACCTTTTATTTAAGAATCAAAATTTGTGTCTAGTAATATGTAATCATACTCTATATTTATTTAAGGATTTTTTTATAAAACCGATTTATTATATTGATTTTTTTTTAAATTCCAGTTCATTTATTAATTTTGTTTTAAAATCAGTTCATCATTTGGCAACATTGACGTTCGTGTTCATTGTTTACATTTTAATTTGTATCAATTACAATTCGAGTTTTTTTTTACTCTTTAGCTATAGATTTGTTTATTTCTTATAGTATGTGATAGTGTTTATATTAAAAATGAAATCTGCGAAAAAGCCCTCAGCAAATTGCAATCTATATGGTGTTAACGTCAAAATCAAAACTGAAGTATTAATTATTTTCCAAGTTCAAGTTCTTACGATAAATGGATATCTACAAATTCACAATATTGAAATTTTGCAAAACTTTGTTTAGAATCAAACTGTAATCTGATTTGTGACGGTTTTATTACCATTTACATGTATACAAAGTACTACACAATTCACTTCATATTATAAGAATAAGGATAGTAAGATTTTAAATAAGTTCATCAATAATAAACGTTTGGTTCCTGAAATGTCCTTTAAACCACATAATAAAACATGTCCTGGGTTTAGTAAATTCATATTTCTAGATGTTCTTGTAGCAACCAATAGGTGAATATTTCCAACAAATTGAGTCATACACATGATAAATATTATATTTATGACGCAAGCACGAAAACTAAACTTAAATTAACACTAAATGAAACTCAAAAACACTATTACAATAAGAATATTATTTAAAAACAGTTAAAAAATCACAAATACAAAATCAGCCCAAAACAAACACATGTAAATAAACAAACATCCTACTTATAGGTGACAAATGACAGGCGCGCGAAAATTAATTTGAATCGCGAATAATATTGATATTATGTAAACGATAAAATGTTTTTGATTATTTTAGTTATTTTGTCCGAATTTGAAAGTCACCCATCTGATTTTTTTTAAACTAAAGCCTTATTTATGCTCTTCACACTCGTTTTTACATAAAGTACCTAATATTGGTTTGGAAGATATCTGACAGTAGTTTTTATTGGAATACCCTGTATAATTTCGGACCAACTGGTAAGTAAAAACCAGTATGTATACTCATTTCTTGCAAGCAGGTACGTAGGTACTTAAATTATTTTTTTCCGATTCCCAGCAAAAATACAGAAGCCAAGTTTATTGCACCAACTTTTATAGCAGTGTTTTCATACAATATGCTGTTAAAACTATATACATTGCGAGACAATCGCATATATTTACATAAAGGTGTAATTAATTTTACAGACACCAGACGACACTTTGTAATTCCAATAATCGCTGCAAAAGGTGATCATAAAAATCATCGAATAATATCTGACATATCCATTTACAGATGTTTGCCCTTTCGAAAAACCCGATGATAGACTTTAATGTCTAAACATCGTATTGGTGTTAGCGGTATCATGCCGGATTGAAAAGTCCGGTTTATTTTTTATCTTTATCGAACTTATATTAAAGCAGGTGTTTATTCGAAAGTGGGTAATATTTATTTATTTCACTAATAATTTACAGAAGAACAATTCCAAGTAGTATGTATAAAAATAATAAAAAAAGATATATAAGATTGTATAAGTCACACTCGCATAAATGAGACATACAAGATTTCATTAAAAACACAAGTAACAGTTACAATAGGTTAGACAAGAATAGTACACGTTTGTTTTAAAAATGTGACAATCAGGAATTAGGTGTAACGGTATGTCTTTCATACCGTTATTTTTCAAACGCCTCTATTGTCCTATCTTTTTCCTTGCGATGACAATTCGGTGGCTGTCAATCGAAGTTCATTTTCGATTGTCTTCCTAAATTTGGTGTCGACAAGACGAATTTTGATTTATCGAGATGATCCTCTGATAAAGAGATTATTTTTTACTTTTAAGAATCATTAGATTAAATAAAGTGTTTAATACAATAGTTCTTGGTTTCATACAATGATTACATAGATTTCATGAGTTTTATATTTAACTTTTTGAGGTTATTTTTTTTTGTGAGTCGACACGCTTTGAATATATTGGTTTCTGTAAAATAGATATATTTTATTTTATTATTCAAAACGTTGGTCTCATCCGTCCTACCTATCAGATTTATCCATTAAAAAGTCGAAATCTTTTAGCTTTGTAAAATTTGAATGGTT